CATCTTCTTTTGATACTTCCGGCATCATTCAATATTTTTTCCATAGAATCTTTCAATATTGCAACTCAAGGCTTAAATTTTTTCTTCAGTTCTTTCAGCTTGAGAAATGCTGAGTGTATTCTTCCCTTTTGGTTTTCTAACTCCAGGTCTTTGGATGTCATTACAATAACTGACTTTGTTTTCTCGAGCTGCTCTTTGAAATTTTCTGTTCAGTTCTTTCATCTTGTCATTTCTTCCATTTGCTTCAGCTACTCTCCACTCAAAGGCAAGTCTCTTCTGACATCCACTTTGGTCATTTCTTCCTTTCCTGTCTTTTTAATGACCTTTTGCTTTTTTCATGGATGATGTTCTTGATGTCATTCCACAATTCCTCTGGTTTTCGATCACTGGTGTTCAATGCATCAACTATGTTCTTTAGATGGTCTCTAGACTCAGGTGGGATATAATCAAGGTCATATTTTGGCTCTTGTGGGCTTGTTTCAACTGTCTGCAGCTTCAACTTGAACTTGTATATGAGCAATTGATGGTCTGCTCCACAGTCAGCTCCTGGCCTTGTTTTGGCTGAAGATACTGAGCTTTTCCATTACCCCTTTGTACAGATGTTGTCAATCTGATTCCTGTGTACTCCATCTGGCAAGGTCCATGTGTACAGCCGCCGTCTGTGTTGTTGAAAAAATTTATTTGCAACGAATAAGTCGTTCGTCTTGCAAAATTCTATCTTCGACCTCTGATGTCATTTCATCACCAAGGCCCTATTTTCCAGCTACTGGTGATTCTTCTTTGTTTCCAACTTTCACATTCCAATCACCAGTGATAATCAATAAACCTTGATTGTATGTCTGGTCAATTTCAGACTACAGAAGTTGGTAAAGATCTTCAATTTTCTCATATTTGGCTTTGGTGGTTGGTGTGTAAATTTGAGTAATAGTAGTATTAACTAGTCTTCTGCGTTGGAGTATGGATATTATCCTATCACTGACAACACTGTACTTCAGGATAGATCTCGAAACAGTCTTTGTGACAATGAATGCCACGTCATTCTTCAATTTGTTATTCCTGGAATAGAAGAACATGTGATTGATTCAAAATGACCAAAACCAGGCCATTTCTGCCCTCTAATGCCTAGGACACTGATCGTCATGTGTACTATTTCATTTTTGACAACTTCCAATCTTCCTACATTCACACTTTTTACATCTCACATTCTGATTATTAATGGATGTTTCTGTAGCTGTTTCTTCCCGTTTTGAGTCATGTCACATCAGCAAATGGAGGTCCTGAAAGCTTTGTTCCATCCATGTCATTAAGGTTGACTCTTCTTTAAGGAAGCAGCTCTTTCCCAGTTTTATTTTGAGTGTCTTACGACCTGAATGGCTCATCTTCCAGCACTGTATCAGACAATGTTTCAAGGATATTCATAGTTTTCCAATAATGTATCAGACAGTGTGTCACTGCTATTCATAAAGTTTTTAGTGGCCAATTCTTTGAGAAGTGGATGGCCCCTACCTTCTTGTGAGTCTGTCTTAGTCTGGAAGCTCTGCTGAAACTTGTCTACCATGGGTGACCCTGCTGGCATTCAAAATACTGCAGCATAACCTCCAGCCTCACAGCAACATGCAAGCCACCACAGTAGGACAAACTGACAGGTGAGTGATGTAAATCAAAACAAAAAGATACCATCTTACTGCAGCACTAAGAGCAAAGTAAAAAAAAAAAAAAAAAACAAAACCAAATGCTGGCTGGGTGTGAAGAGACTGAAACCCTCCTACACTGCTGGTGGGACTATAAAATAGTACAAATGCTGGGGAAAATGATATAGCATTACTAGAAGCTGGAAACAGAAATGCCACATGATCCAGCAAGCCCACTACTAGATATATAACCTAAAGAAATAAGAGCCATGACACACACACATGTACACTCAAGTTCATCACAGTACTATTCACAACAGCAAAGAAATGGAAGCAACCTAAATGCCCGTCAACGGATGAATGGATAAACAAACTGTGGTACATATACACACTGGAATACTATACAACGATGAATCTGTGAAATATCTCATAATGTGGATGAACCTAGAGAGCATTAAGCTGAGTGACGTTAGTCAATCACAAAAGGACAAATACTTTGTAAGATTACTACTGTAAAAAGTCAAGAAAAGGTTTTCACACAAAAAGGAAATTTTTTAATGGTTACCAGTGGTGGGAGGAGAAGGGAGGGTGAACCACTAACTAGAGGGGAGACACGTATGAACTTGGGTGAAGACAATACACAACAAGGAGGAGGTCAGCACAAGATGGTCAAAGAAAGGAAGATGCTGGGAGGAGACAAGAGTTAAAGGCAACAGACCAAACCCACTGCCGGTAAGTCAATTCTGAGTCATAGCGACCCTATAGGGCAGAGGAGACCTGCCCTAAAGGGTTCCCGAGGCTATCAATCTTTAAAGAAGCACACTGCCTCATCTTTCTCTCATGGAGCAGCTGATGATTTGAACCAACAACTTTTGGTTAGCAGACAAATGCCTTAGCCAATGTCCTACCACAGCGTCTTCAGAAAGCAACAGAGGTAAATACTAATTCATACACAATCCTGCCATAACAGTAACAACAATTAATAATCTGTGAGTGTGGGAAGGAGAGTGGGACAACACCCATGAGTATGTACAGGTCTAACAGAGGCTATTTATGAATATGTATTTATACGTTGTGGTAGTTAAGGTTGGTGTCAACGTGGCTGAGCCTGACTGAGTGGCTGGGCAGTTGGATGTAGTTATTGCCCATGGTGAGACTGGCAATCAGTTTCATGGTGGAATCTACTGGAGCAGCTGAATAGCTGCTTTAGGGATGTAGGCTGCTTCCAGTAGATAAGAAGCGGCTTTGAGGAAGGTCTCCAGCTGATGGCACACTTGAACCCTGCATGTAGCCAAGTCATTGTTCAACAGCCTGCCACGCCCTGCCGATCTTGGGACTTTTTCTGGACTTGAATTAATGGCCTGCCATGTTGTATGGTGGTATCAGGACTGTGCCATTTTATTTGTTGACCTTGGGCTCGAAAGCCTCAGCAGCCACAGCTGCCTGAGTGAAGAAAGCTTCCAGCTTCAGTGGGCCGGGACCAAGAGGCAGAGCTGAAGCCTAAGGTCAAGGAGCTTTCCCCAGTGCCTAGAGCCTGGCACTTTAAACTTGGACTTCTAGCCTCCAAAAATTGTAAGAATAAACTCCTGTTTGTTAAAGCCATCCCATTTGTGGTATATTCCTATCAGAGCAGCATTAGATAACCAAAACACATGTGCTGCAGATATATCCACAAATACAGTAGCGCATACAGGGGACAAAGCTATGCGAACTTCTTAGCCATAACCAAAAACCCTGAAGGAATGAGTCACTGGGCCTGGAGACTCAGGACCATAGTCTCAGGGGACATCAAGGTCAACTAGCACAACACAGTCCACACACACACAGACAGTGTTCTACATCCTACTTTGGTGAGAAGTGACTGGGGTCTTAAAAGCTTGCTAGCAACCATCAAGGGTGCAACTACTGGTTTCTTCCTGTCTGGAGCAAAGAAGAGTGAAGAAAATCAGAGATGCACAGAAACAATTAGTCCCTAGGACTAGAACATCATGCAAACCTTAGCCTCCAGGACGACCCTGAGACCAGAACCAGAAGGTACTTGGCTACCACTACCAACCCTTCTGAAAGGGATGACACGAGAAGGTCCTGGATGGAGTGGAAGAAAAATGTGGAACAAAACTCAAAATTATATAAAAGGCCTGGCTTACTGGTCAGACAGAGACCAATGGAACTCAAGACTACGGCCCCTGGTCACCCTTCAGACTGAGCTCAGCACCGTAGCTGAATTTTCAGTCCAACACCAGACAGGTCTACAAGGAGAACAGGCACCTTAGGAAGGCACCAGGCACTCCGGCACTAAGGCACTCCTTACAACTCCACAGAACAATGAGCCACTGGAGATCACTAGAGGAACATCTACCCAGGGACAAAGTGCAGAAGGCAGGATGGGTCAGGAGAGGAGGAGGAATGGAAACAAGAAAACATTGGGAGGAAGTGCGAGGAGTGCTCTTACATTCAGGGGACTGCAATCAGTGACATGAAACAAAGTGTATGGGAACTGTTGAATGAAAAACTAGCTTGCTCTGTAAAACTTCCCCAAATCACAATAAAAAGTTAAAAACAAAAAGAAAAGAAAACCATGAGCTGTAAGAGAAAAAACTGGTAAGATGGACTTCATCAAAATTAAAAATTTCTGCTCTTCAAACTACATTATTAAAGACAAAAAGACAAAGCATAATTTGAGAGAAACTACCTGCAGAAATGTATCAGAGGACTTGTATCCAGGACATGTAACAACTGTGCCAACTCAGCAGTAGGAAAACAATGAAAGCAATGATCACAGCCGCTCCTTCCTAACAGCAAGAACAAACGAACAAACAGAGACGATGCAAATGGGCATCAATGGGAAAACACGCATGGGGTGTGCACAGTGTAACATAGCAGAAGTGGCTAACAGCCATCGGCAGGAGGAGTCGCAGACACTGACACTTCGTGAGAATCACAGAGCTATCCAAACAGCTAGAACCAAGGACCACACTGTCAGGTGTGCAAATCCACATGCATGCCTACACAGTTCTAGTTACTGGTTGGGACTCTTGGAGCAAGGGAGAGGGCGGCCAGGGTAATGGGCTCACAGTGCTCATTCCATTATCAATGGAAGGATGGGTGGATGGATGGACAGGGTGCACTCCCAAGTTCAAAAAAGAACGAACATACAGATGTTTGTAACTCTGTACCTCACAAAATGTTTGGTAGTGAAGCCGTAAGGATGAGGCATGCAAAAGCGGTGCAGGGCATCAATTCATAATCAGTGAAGCCTAAGCAGATTGACATGGCCTCACCAAGATGCCAAAGGACTCACCAGAGAGCAGCCTGGTGCCGATGAAGAAAAGAGGAGGAAGCTGCATGCAAAGCCATCGGGAGTGTTACCTGTTGTATGTAAACTCCACATCCATAGGTTCAAAGTTATAGGCCTGCTCAAATTCTGGATTCAGTTTAAGAGTGACCTCTTCTTCGTGAATCTAAGACAGACAAAGGATTAATGGCCACCGTTAGATCCGAATTCGTGAACAATCTCCACTGTGCACCCAGCACATCTCATTTCACAGATTGGAGCTAAAATGTGGGATCTCAGATATCTGCACGCATAACTGAAGAGGCGTGAACTGTGATGCCACCCTATGACACCAACAGGAGGGACTGCCAACGCTCTGCCTGCCCCACGGTGCTCACTGGCCAAGTGCTTCCACTGCTGAGCCACCAGGACGCCTTAAAACAGCCTTGGGAAAAATCCCACTCTCTGGTGCTCTCCTTCTCTCTTCACACATGGTTGGATCCCACGGGCCTTAGCTTTTTAAGGGTGTTAATCTCTACACACACAAGTGACAGAGGCTTCTCCCTTCCCTCCTCACAATCCCTCCACCAGCCTGGAGACCAAGTTACTGCTGCTTCCTTCTGATGCTCCCCAAGAACGTCGCACTGAGGGCATCTCTTACTGGGCAGTCTGTAAACTCACCTCGAAAACCACCTGGTACTGGTTGCTTGCTTTCTAGAAAGGTAACTAGTGGCTCCCCCCACCCCAATCTCATAGGGCTATTTGGACTTTTCGTAACTTTCCCACTTGACTCAGAAGGAAACGTTGTGACAACATTCTCTGGTCCAGTTTTCACTAATGGTATGTGGTTGTTCATGTGGGTCCCAGCTGTTTGCAGTCTGTGCTTTCTCTGTGGTTACATACTCCCAATGTCTTCCTGTTATTGGTACCTTTTTTGTTTTTTCTTGATTGCTCTGTTGATTTTATATTCTTCAAATACCAACTTTGGACTTGATGATATTTTCATTTCACAGACTTCTGCACTTTCCCCCCTCTTTTCCTTTAGTGACTCCATTACTCACTTTTTTAAACTTTTTATTGTGATCTGGGTGAAAGTTTACAGAACAGTTTTCCAATCAACAATCCATACACATTTTGCTGTGTGACGTTCACTGCGATCCCTACAATGTAACAGCCCTCTTCCCACGCCCTCCCTGGATTTTCCATCTCTCTGTCCTTCTTCCCCAACACTTCTGCCTTCTGTGCTCCTCCTCCTCTGCCAGTCAGCCTGGGCAGGTGTGTGGCACTGAATTACTTGCTATGGCTTTTCTATGCCATCTCCGTCACTCCCACCAGATCACCAGGTGAGATCATGCAAATAAGGTGTATGCAACTGTACAGTGATGACTGGTTAGTTTTGTCTTGCTGCTGGGCTTAAAATGAGCTCTGGTAGCATAGTGCTTAAGGCATCTGACTGCTAACCAGAAGACTGGTGGTTCAAACCCACCAGCCACTCCTCAGAAGGAAGGTTGGGCAATCTACTTCCGTACTGATATCACCTTGGAAACCCAAGGAGGGGTTGCTGTGAGTAGGGTCCAACTCGATGGCCTATTAACAATAGAGGCAGAAAAAGGGATTTCACTGCCAGCAAGAGAGAAGAGCTGGAGATGAAGGGGAGTGCGTCCTTGGACCCGAGATCCTCGCACTGGACCTCCTTGCAAAGGAGGCTGGGACTACGGGCAGAGATGACTTGCTGGTAGAGTGGGGTGTATGTAGGTATACCTATTGGCAGAGCGAAAAGAGCTTTGTAACAGAAGCGAGGCCAAAGGCCAGAGAGGCATGCCTGAGGGCACAGCGAGGGGAAGCTGTCCTGAGTGCGCTCCTGAACCTGCGTTGTGGCTGTTACTTCTCTAATAAGTCCCATAATCCTGATATTGTGCGTTCTGTGTGGCCACTGCAACGAATGACTGACCCCAGCAGAGAAGCAGTGAGTGCTGTGGGAGGGACGGTGGGTGTCAGAGTTGATGAAAAGGCTGGAGGGTAGCCTCATAGGAATAAGGAATAAGGCTCGGGCTGCTGATGCAACTGTTTCCCCTCCATGAGGTTGGAGGAGGTCAGAGGAAGATACTGCCTCCATGTTCTTTGTGCAGGAGGTTTCTCAGGGTACAGCCAAGAATCCTAACAAGAGATACACTGCCCAGTCCATATGATACCTGTGTCGGGGCTCAAATCCTCACACTTTTCCACCCTCTTTTCTGGCTATGCAACCCCCTCTCCTCAAGTCCACTAGTCAGCCCCAACATTCATCTCAAGAACACCTGCTGTGGTTGTTATTTTCAGATGCTACTGAGTTGGCTCCAACTCATAGATACCCTACATATAACAAAAAACAAAAAACAAAAAACAAAAAACAAAAGAACCACTGCCTGGTGCACCATCCTCACAACCTTTGCTATGCTTGGGTCCATAACTGCAACCACTGTGTCAATCCACCTTGTGGAGTGTCTTCTCCTTTTTCTCTGACCCTCTACTTTACCAAGCATGATGTCAGAAGGACATGGTCCATGGTGTTTTCAGTATTCTTTGCCAACACCACAATTCAAAGGCATCAACTCTTCTTCAGTCTTCCTTATTCACTATCCAGCTTTCACATGCACACGAGGTGATTGAAAATACCATGGCTTGGGTTAGGCTCACCTTAGTCTTCAAAGAGACATCTGTGCTCTTTAACATTTTAAAGAGATCTTGTGCAGAAGATTTGCCCACTGCAATACGATGTCTGATTTCTTGACTTCTGCTTCCTTGGGTGTTGGCTGTAGATCCAAGTAAAATGAAATCACTGACAACTTCAATCTGTTCTCCATTTATTGTGATGTTGCCCATTGGTTCAGCCGTGAGGATGCAATCCTGATGCATGCGTTCCTGATCTTAAACAATGCAGCATCCCCTTGTTCTGTTTGAACGACAACCTCTTGACCTATGTACAGGTTCCTCATGAATACAATGAAGTGTGCTGGAATTCCCATTTTTCTCCAAGTTACCCACAATTTGTTATGATCCACACAGCTGAATGCCTCTGCATAGTCAATAAAACACACAAAGTCATCATCTTTCTAGTTTTCTCTGGGTTTAGCCATGCTCCATCTGACATCAGCAATGATAGATATCCCTTGTTTCCCTTCTCAATCCAATTTGAATTTCTGGAAGTTTCCTGGCAATATATTGCTGTACCTGTTTTTGAGTTATCTTCAGCAAAATTTTACTTGTATGTGATATTAATGTTATTGATAATGTTCAATAATTTCCACATTCTGTTGGATCATTTTTCTCTGGAAAGGGAAGATATATGGCTCTCTTTCAGTCAGTTGACCAGATAGCTATCTTCCAAATTACTTGCCATAAATGATTAAGTACATCCAGCGCAGCAACCGTTTGTTTAAACACATCAATGGGTATCTCATCAATTCCCGGAGCCTCATTTTTCACCAATTCCTTCAGTGCAGCTTGAACTTTTTCCTTCAATACCATAAATTCTCTATAATATGCTACCTCCTGAAATGGTTGAATAGTGACCAATTCTTTTTGGTGTAGTGACTCTGTATACTCCTTCCATCATTTTCTAATGCCTCCTGCATCATTCTGTATTCTGTCCACAGAATCCTCCAAAATTGCATCTTGAGGCTTGAATCATTTCCTGTCTTTTCAGCTTGAGAAATGCTGAGTGTATTCTTCCCTATAGTTATTCTAACTCCAGGTCTTTGCCATTGCACTGTAACACTTTAATCTGTCTTCTGGAGCCACCCTTTCAAATATTCTGTTCAGCTCTTTTACTTCATCACTTCTTCCATTTGCTACTCTCCATTCAAGAGCAAGTCTCAGAATCTCTTCTGACATCCATTTTGGTCTTTGCTTCCTTTCCTGTCTTTTTAATGACTGTCTATGTCTTCATATACGATGTTCTTGATGTCATCCCACAACTCATCTGGTCTTTGCTCCCTGGTGTTCAATGTGCCAAATCTATTCTTCAGATAGTCTTATTGAGCTTCTCCATCACTTATTTCCACAGATACAGTCGATCTGATTCCATCTGGTGAGGTGGTCCACACGTACAGTCACTATTTATGTTGTTGGAAAAGGTATTTGCAATGAATAAGCCTTTGCTCTTGCAAAATTCTTTCATGTGATCTCTGGTGTCATTTTTTATCACCAAGACCATATTTTCCAACTACCGATGCTTCTTTGTTTCCAACTTTCTCATTCCAATCACCAGTAATAATCTCAGTACCTCTTGATCACTTGTTTGGTCAATTTCAGACTGCAAAATTTGGTGAAAATCTTCAAAGTCTTCATCTTTGGCTTTAGTGGTTGGTGGGTAAATTTGAGTAACAGTAGTATTAATTGGTCTTCGTTGAAGGCATATGGATATTATCCTAACACTGACAGCACTGTACTTAAGACAGATCTTGAAATGTTTTTTCTCATGATGGATGTGACATGACTTTTCAATTTGTCACTCTCAGCATAGTAAACCACATGACTGATTGTCTGACTCAAATGGCCAACACCAAACCATTTCAGCTCACTCACAGTGGCTACAATGATGGGCTTGGGTATAGCAAGGATTGTGAGGCTGGTGCAGGATCAGGTAGTGTTTTGTTCAGTTGTACACAAGGTCGCTATGAATTGGGGCTGACTAGATGGCACCTAATAACACTGCCACCACCACTGTCTAGGATACTGATCTTTATGCATTCCATTTCATTTCTGACAACTTCCTATTTTCCTAGGCTCAGACTTCATACATTTAATGTTCCAATTATTAATGGATGTTTGTAGCTGTTTCTTTCCATTCTGAATCATGACCCATCAGCAAAAGAAGGTCCCAAAAGCTTTTATTCCATTCATTTCATTAAGGTTGATTCTACTTTGAGGACGCAGCTCTTCCTCAGTCGTATGTTGAGTGTTTTCCCATCTAAGGAGCTCAGCTCATTTTTAACACTGTATCAGACAATGTTTCATTACTATCCATAAAGTTTTCTAGTAATATATCAGATGGTGTTTCACAGGTATTCATAGGTTTTCACTGGGCAATTTTTTTATAAGTGAATGGCTCTGTTCTTCTTCTCCTCAATCTGTCTGAGTCTAGAAGCTCCGCTTCCTCACTGGCCTGCGGCACCTGGGAAACACCAGGCCCTTGAGGGTCTTTGAACCTGGGCAGGCTCTGTCTTCTGAGAAAAAGTCAGATTCTTGGAATGAGCCACGTGGGGGCAGCATGGAGCAGACACAGCTCTTCTCCAGTCCTGCCCACACTCTTCCTCCTTCTCGGGAGCAGGGCTTACTGCTTTCTCTGTAGCTCTCTGTCCTCAGGCCCCATGATGACAGGGGCTTCCCTTCTCAGCAGTGTGCAGTGCTATGCTAAGTGTGCCTGTGAGCCATCAGGACCAGAACCACGACCCGTGACCCTGGCATGTTACCACCTAGCACACCACTAGCAGGTGGGAGGCAGGGTGAGGCCAGCAGACCCTTCCCTTCAGACATCATGGGGTGAATCTGTGTCTTTCTTCTGGAAGACGTTCAGGATACCTACGCTCAATGCAATACAAATATCAAAATCTACACATGGTATAATTTAAAAGGCAAACATGTTTTACATGTGGTTAAGAATTAGATATCTTTAGCTATTAAATTCCCTTCATGCATCACAAATTATTTAAAGATTAATTTTACAATCAAGCTTTCCAATATACAGCCAATGCCCAGAAGCAGCCACCCTCCCACAGGGAGAAGGTGAGTGAGTTCTGTACCTTTCAGGCTGGTCTGATGGGTTAATCTGACAAAACTCAGTAAGGACCCATCCCCTCACCTCAGTCACGTAGCCGATGTATTCAATGACGTGTCCGTTGTACTCCTGAGTTTTTAAAATCAGCTTATCACCTAGTTAAAAAATATTTCACCATGCTGTATTCTGTGATACCATGACATGACACTGCCAAGTCCCACTGCTGTGCTATTCAACACTACCAGACAAAACTGAACTGGGGTGAACTGCCTAAAGGTCCTGTTGGGTGACAAGAGAAACAGACTTCATGTGCTTGAGTCGGTGATCAACCTCTAAGGGTCACTCTAACCCAGAGGAAGGACGTTAGGCAAGGGGATGCCGTGTTGCTGGGTGGAGGGTGTGTCTCCTGCCACGATTCCCTGACTGCTACGCCATCTGCTCACCCCGATGGTGCCCACCCACCTGCATACACCCACCTGCGTACAGAGAAGGCCGGCTCTCGGCCAGGCCTGGGACCTCCAGCACCAGGAGGTCCCCATTCCTTTTCAAGGTAACCCCAGTCATGTTGTATTCTTTCAGCTCCATCTCCGCATGGATCTCCTCTAGCCACAGCAGCGTTGCAAATTTCTCCTTGTAGTTTGACATGTTCAAAAGCTGAAGACAAAGGGTCAGCAAGTCAGAGCAGAGCAACCCTCTGGTCAAGTAGGGGGCCGACTGCAGGAATAAGAAGGTGCAGATGTGAGTCCCCACCACTTGTCTGCCAGTTCGTCCTGCTGTGGTGGCTTGCATGTTACTGTGAAGCTGGAGGCGATGCCACTGGTACTTCAAATATCAGCAGGGTCACCATGGGGGACAGGTTTCAGTGGAGTTTCCAGACTAAGACAGACTCAGAAGAAGGAAGGGGCCATCCATTTCTCAAAGAATTGGCCAGTGAATACTTTATGAATAGCAGTGAAACCCTGCCTGATATATTACTAGAAAACTTTTTGAATAGCCCTGAAACACTGTTTCACATAGTGCCGGAACATGAGTACACAAGTCAGAAGGCACTCAAAATATGACTGAGGAAGAGCTGCTTCCTCAGAGCAGAGTCGACCTTGATGTGGATAAAGTAAAGTTTGGGACCTCTGTTGGCTGATTTGGCACAACTCAAAATGGCAAGAAACAGCCGTCAACATCCATTACTAACCGAACACTGGAATGTACAAAATATGACTCTAGGAAAATTGGAAGTTGTCAAAAACGAAATGGAACACATAAAGATCAATATCCTAGGCATTAGTGAGCTGAAATGGATGGGTTTTGGTCATTTTGAATCAGGCAACCATATGATTTACCATGCCAGGAATGACAAATTGAAGATGAATGGTGTGGCATTCATCATCACAAAAACTGTTTCAAGATCTGTCCTGAAGTACAATGCTGTCAGTGATAGGATATTATCCATGCGTCTACAAGAAAACCAGTTAATAATATGATTATTCAAGTTTACCCTCCAACCACCAAAGCCAAAGATGAGGAAATTGAAGATTTTTACTGACTTCTGCAGTCTGAAATTGACTGAACATGCAATCAAGATGTGTTAATTATCACTGGTGACTGGAATGCAAAAGTTGTGGACAAAGAACAATCACCAGTAGTTGGAAAATATGGCCCTGGTGACAGAAATACGCTGGAAACTGCATGATAGAATTTTGCCAAGACGAATGACTTATTCCTTGCAAA